GGGTGGGGCCTTGGTTGCTGGCCTCTGATGGGCAGAGACCGTTGGGCAGTGGGCGGGGCCTGCTCAAAGGCGGTGAGAGACAGGCCTGGAGGCGGAGCTTTGTTCGGGGCGGGGCTCCGGTGGTGCGCGCGAGGGCACGTTAGGGGCGGGGCTACGTAGGGTCCGGGTGGGGCGGGGCCTCGCTTGCTGGCCTCTGATAGGCAGAGACCGTTGGGCGTGGGCGGGGCCTGCTCAAAGGGTGAGAGACAGGCCTGGAGGCGGAGCTTATTGGGGGCGTGGCTCCGCGGGCGCGGTGCGGGCGGTGCTTGGTTTGCGAGCCTCCGGTGGGCGGGGCCGGTTGAAAAGCGGTGCGTTGCGGGCTCGGAGCTGCGTTCGGGGCCTGGGCGAGGGCTGAGCGCGGTGTCCGGGGCTCGGGAGCCCGGAGCAGGTCGCGCTGCGCGCAGGGCCGGGCTCGGGGCGCGATGGCTCTGTACCCGGTGATCCGGAAGCTGCAGCACAAGCGCGTGGTGCTGGCCAGCGCCTCCCCGCGCCGCCAGGAGATCCTCAGCAGGGCGGTGAGCGGCGGGCACCCGCCTCGGTGGGGTGGCGGTCGGGGCCTGGTGTCCCCAGGGCCGGTGACCAGCAGGGAGGTCAGGATCTCTGGCTCAGGCCTAGTGACCGGGGAGTCTAGTGACCAGGGTACCCAGGGACCCTGGAGCCTGGTGATGGGAATGAGGGGCTGGGGTCTCTGGCCTGGGGGTTGGGGGCTGGGCTTAGCAGGTTGGGGTCTAGTGACAAGGTGTGAGGTCCAGGGGTCTTCAGGCTGTAGTGACCTGTGACTGGGGCCAGATCCTAGCCATCGGGGTCCAGGTCTATAGGCTGGGGGTGGGGCAGGAGGGTGCATGACCTCGGGTCAGGATCTCCAGGCCCGGTCTAGTGGTCCAGGGTCCTAATACCTGCTTGCCTGGGGTGTACAGGGCTGCAGGCCCAGCCAGGTTCTGTGTGTCCCAGCTCCCTCTGGCCTGCAGCTGGTGGGGGAGGGTGGGAAGGGACAGAGCCAGGTACAAGGTGCACAGTGTGCTCTTATAGGGTTGCCAAGGGGATGGGCAGTTTGCCCCCTGGGGTCAAAGCCCCCATTGCCAGCCTTGGTGGGTCAGTTTCCATGACCAGCCTCCTGCAGGGGAATGTCTTGTTAGGGGGCAAAGTCAAAAAAGCCCTATTTCCCCCTCACACATCCCCCTCCCCCCCATTTCTTGTGGGAAGTATGTTTTCAGTTGCTTCACCCCTGGAGGGGTGAGTCACCCAGCTTTAGGGGCTGACTGGCAGCCCTTTCACCCTTCTGACCTGTGTGCCCAGCACCTCAATCAATATCACACCCTGGCCTTTGTGTGGTTGACGTGGGCAGAGTCTTCCCTCCAGGTCCAGCAGCCCCTGCCAGCCCAGGAGTTGGCTCTAGATGAAACTTCAGGCATCGGGAAAGAGGGACCGTGCATGGGAAAGGCCCCATTTTACCGTAAACCTTCCCTGTTCTCTGTCCCACCCACGTCCTTGCATTCCTCAAACCCTCCACACGACGTCTTCTCTGTTTGCAGGGTCTCAGGTTCGAGGTGGTTCCTTCCAGGTTTAAAGAAAAGCTCGATAAAGGCTCTTTCGCCACCCCGTACGCCTATGCCATGGAGACGGCCAAGCAGAAGGCCCTGGATGTGGCCCGGAGGATGCACCAGGCAAGGGCTCTGCTTCTGCCACCTCAGGGTCTCTGGCTGTTGCGGGGAAGGGACGGCGGGCTTAGGTCTTAAATAGACGTGTTATAATAAATGCCCTTTTGTACTGGCCGGTGTGGCTCGGTTGGGTCTCGTCCAGTGAACCAAAAGTTCCCTAATTCGATTCCAGGTCAGGGCATGTGCCCAGTGTTGCAGGCTTGATCCCCAGTGGGGGGTGTGCAGGAGTCAGCCTATTGATGTTTCTCTCTCATCAATGTTTCTCTCTTTCTTCTTCTCCCTACCTCTCTCTAAAATCAATAAAAACATATTTAAATAAAATGAAATTTAAAAAATAAATGCCTTTTACAGTGTGCAGTTAATGCAGCTTATTTATTGCTGAGTGTTGCCATGGAGTAAACAATTATACTCCTGTAACATATATGTGATAGAGCTTATCTGTTATTTTGCTAGTTTGTAATGTACTATTATAATTAATATAACAATATCATATACAATAAAGAATTAATATAGCTTATCTATTACTTTACTACTATATAATACTATCATAATTAACAGTATCATTTATGATAAAGAATTAAAGGTTTTCTATTACTTTTTTACTATATAATATGCTATTGTAATTAATATAACAGTATCATAGACAATAAAGAATTAATATAGCTTACCTATTACTTTGTTACTATATAATATACTATCATGATTAACAGTATCATTTATGATAAAGAATTAATATAGCTTGTCTATTTTTTACTATATAATATGCTATTGTAATTAATATAACTGTATCTTTTACAATATGTAGCTTATCTATTACCAAGTATTACTTTGTAACATACTATTGTAATTGATAGTATCATTTCTATAATATAGATTATGAGATTGTTACTATGTAATATACCATTGTAATTAATACAACAGTATCATTTACAGTAAAGAATGTAGCTTATCTATTACCACCTGTTACTTTATAACGTACTACTGTAATTAATAGTATCATTTATATAATATAGATTATGAATTAGTTTGTTACTGTGTAATATGCCATTAGAATTAATATAACAGTATTGTTATGTAGAATTAGTGTAACTTATCTATTACTATGTGTTACTATGCAATATCCTATTATAATTAATATGACAGTGTCATATAGAATTAATGCAATTTAATACTATGTATTCCTCTGCAGTATCCCATGATAATTACTAATAGTGTCCTTCACAATATAGAATTAATGTAGCTTATCACTATGTGTTATAATAATATTTTGTTGCAATTAATGTAATAAATGCATTGTAGTTAATGCTATACATACTGGTATAAGTGAATGAATATTGATGAGTTGATTTGGAGCAGTGGAAGGTTAGTATTTAAGTGTAGCCCAAGTTCAAGGTGGTGTACAGATTTGGGGTGAGCATTCAGGGTCCCACTCCTGTCCTTGCTCAGCACGAGAGCACACACAGGTGTTGCTCTACAAAGTATGTCTAGCTTCCCACCCAGGAGGCTGTTCCCCGTGCGTCAAAACGCAGGTGTGTATCAAAACGCAGACATGCATCGTTTCTAAACCTGGGTTTGGATCTCTTGCAGAAAGACCTACGGGTCCCTGACATCGTCATCGGAGCCGACACTATCGTGGTGAGTCAGATTCTTGGCCTCTGCAACCGAGGTACGTGCCTGAGACCGGGAATTGAACCTGGGACCCTTTGATTGGCTGGCTGACGCTCTAACCACTGAACAACACTGGGCCAGGGGAACATGCTCCAATTTTATAGTTGCTTTTGTTTCTGGGTTTTAAAAATGTTGCCAGCCCGGCCGGCTCAGCAACTGAGCATTGTCCTGTGCACCAAGAGGTCACTGGTTCCATTCCCGGTCAATGCACATGCTCAGGTTTCAGTTTTGATCCCCTGTAGGGGGGTGTGCAGGAGACAAGTGATCAATGACTCTCATCATTGAAGTTTCTAAATCTCTCTCCCTCTCCTTTCCTCTCTCAGAAATCAATAAAGACATATTTAAAAAGAATTTCTTTAATGTTCCCATTGTGAGGATTATCTTCATGGTAACAGTCCAGGCCCTGCCCCCACTCTCCTCCCCTAGTCCCTCACCACCCAGCTCACCAATGCAGGAGAAAAACCCACCGACTCACCCACTAACCTATGCCACCGTCTTCCGGACTCCTTATTCCCTCCCTGTCCTCGCCCTGGGGTGACCAAACTCTAGGGTTCCATACTAGCTCATGGGGTCCTAGATAGAGTGTCTGCTTTAAGTGGATTGGCCCAGGAAAGGAGAGGGAGAGAGAGAAACATCAATGATGAGAGAAAGTCATTGATCGACTGCCTCCTGCATGCCCCCTACCAGGGATTAAGCCTGCAAGCTGGGCATGTGCCCTTACTGGGAATCAAACTGGTGACCTCTTGGTTCATGGGTCGACGCTCAACCACTGAGCCACGTCGGCCGGGCAGGCCCATTTCTAAGCCCTCAGCTTTTGTATAAATTCATTCTCATAACTGATCTGCCTGGGCAGGTGCCTGGAGCGTCTTGGGTTCCCCCTCATTCAGGAAAAAGGGACATTGTCCTAAATCAGACCACACGTAACCTCCCAGATGATCGGATCACAGCCCCCTAACTGGGCGGGTCATGATGGGTTGTCAGGCTGCAAGCTTATAACTTCTTTTCTGAAGAGTTTACCCGCCTTTAGCAAGCAAGCCCCGTCCGTTGTTTCTGTGCACCTCGGTTAACACACCTTTGAAATGTGTCCTCAGGCCCCTTGGAGGGGTAACCACCCTGAAGGCAGCAGGTGACCCCTTTAACCTATAACCCGATCCCTACCTGGCTTCCCCCCTTAATTCCAAATGCATAAAAGAAGCTACAAAATTGTCCTTGGGGGCTGAAAGGGGGGGGGCATTTGAGATTTTGCTCCCCGGCATGTCATCAGCTTGGCTCAAACGGACTTATAAAAATTCTCTACAGCCCTGGCCGGCGTGGCTCGGTGGTTAGAACGTCGGCCGGCGCACGGAGGGGTCACGGGGTCAATTCCCCGTCAAGGGTGTGCACCTGGCTTGTAGGTTCAACCCCCCGGGGCGTGTGCGAGAGGCGACCCATCGGAGCATCTGTCTCACATCCATGTTTCTCTCTGTCTCTCTCTCTTTCTCTCTCCTCCTCTCTCCCTTCCGCCCTTTCACTCTCTAAAAATCAGTCGACGGCAGGTCTGTTTTTTGGGGAGATGAGAATATTCTGGAAGAAGCGAGAGGTGATAAAAGTATAACCGAGTGAATGTACTAAACGCCCCTGGATCATTTAAAAATGCCGAATTAAAAATAAATAAATAAAATAAATAAATAAAAATGCCCAATTTTACTTTACGCGAATCTCACCTCGAATTTTAAAAGCATAAAAAAGTGGGCCGGTCAGCCTTTAGAGGTCTGGCCCTCAGGTGGACAAACCCACCTCTCTCCGGTTTCCCTTGTAGACGGTTGGAGGGCTGATCCTGGAGAAGCCGGTGGACAAGCAGGACGCGTACACCATGCTGTCCAGGTGGGTGCCGCGTGGACCGAGTCCCCGGGGACCAGCTGCCCCCCCTCCGTCAGATAGAGCCCAGGATGGGGGGCAGGGGCTCAGGTCCTCGTGGGGCCAGTCAGAGGACGGACCCAGCGCCTTGAACTTAGCTGTATTAATTTCCCCCACGTGGAGCGCAAGCCGGGGTCCATGAGCTTATCTCTGGCCCCTCCATATACTTTTTGGCTGGTGTCCCCCCCCATGGCCGCCCCCCTCTGACCAGCTTTCCCACAGCCCAGCACATCTGAACTTGTGCTCAGCTGACAGGGAGCCAGGGCCTGGGTCTCCCTCGGGTCACGGGATAGCAGACAGACCCTCAGGAAGAACCAGCTGAGGGCTGCCCCTTCCGAGTCCTCCCTACGTGGCCCCCTGCTCCTGTCTGGGTCCATATGCTCCCCGGTGACCCGGACATTGGGTCCTGTAAGCAACACCCTATGGCTGTCCCTCCCACTCTGAGACCGATGACCCCACGCCTGCATCTCTCTTATTGTTGCTGTTAATCGTCACCCAAGGATATTTTTTTCCATTGCTTTTGCAGAGAGAGTGGAAGGGAGAGAGAGAGAGACATTGATTGGTTCCTCCGACTGGGCCCTGGGATCGAACCTGCAACCCAGGCACGTGTCCTTGACCAGGAATCGAACCCGGGACCCTTCCGCTAACCAGTGAGCCCAACTGGCCAGGGCTGCACCTGTCTCTCTTGATAGGTTTTCTTGGAGACGGGGTATCTGGGGCAAGGAGGGAGAAAGCCATCACGTGGACTGGAAGTGAGGACCTGAGCCCTAGGGCGCAGGGCCGCCCCGTTCCTGTGTCTCCCTCGGCTCCGGCCTGAGACACATCCTGTGCACGGTTGTGTCTTGCAGGCTGAATGGGAAAGAACACAGCGTGTTCACCGGAGTCACCATCATCCACTGCTCCAGCCAAGGTACCACGGCCGGCATCCCCCCTTCCGCGGGGTCAGGGCGGGACCCGGGGGGATCTCAGTGATCAGGGCCCACGGGGGCAGCTCGGGTGTCGCCCCCACAACAGCCCCTCCCTCCCATCCTGCCTGGGAAAGTCCGGGCGATGTGGATGTCGGGGGCGTTACCTCTGAGAGCCACGTGCCACGTCCACGTGGCGGACACGTGGCAGGTGCCACTTACAAAGGCCCGTCTGTGACAAGCCTCTGAGACGCTTTCTTTGACATCTTTGGGTCAGGAAGGTGGAGGGTGTGGGCCCTCGTGGGTGTGTATAACTTAGGCCACGGTGGCAGAAAGTTCTTAAAAAATGCACAGAAGGCCGTGGCCGGTGTGGCTCAGTGGTTAGAGCGCCAGCCTGCGCGCTGAAGAGTCTCAGGTTCGATTCCTGGTCAAGGACACGTACCTGGGTTGTAGTTTCAACCCCCGGGCCCGTTCGGGACTCATGCAGGAGGCAGCCGATCACTGACTCTCATCGTGGATGTTTCTCTCTCTCTCCGTCTCCCTTCCTCTCTCTGAAATCAATAGTAATAAAAAAAACAAAACCCAAACATATTTTAAAAAATTAATTGAACCTATCCCCCCCCCCCATGAATGATTTATATCTGAATTGCACGCACGGTTGGGGCAGAGCCTCCCCCAAACGGGGCGACACAGACTCTGGGATGTGGAGGTGACCCGCGTCCTCCCTGGGGGCCTCTGTCCTTGCAGACGGCCGGCTGGACATGGAGGTCTCCGAATTCTACGAGGAGACGCTGGTGAAGTTCTCGCAGCTGTCCGAGGAGCTCCTGTGGGAATACATCCACAGCGGGGAGCCCATGTGAGTGTCCCCCGTATCCCACCCCTGAGCCATGGCCCGGCTTGGGGGGGGTGACAGGCACCGAGTCACGGCACCCTCTGGCGCCCAGCTGAGGGTCTGTATGTCACTCCCAGTAGCTCCCACCCGCTTTCTGTCACAGGGTGCCGGCCACATGGAGGCCACCACAGCCCAGGAGGGTCCTGCCTTGTCATGGGCCCGAGTCTGGGGGACAGAGCGGGGCAGGGGCCAGGGTCGAACAGCCCTGGACGCTGGGTCAGAGTGCAGGAGGGGCCTTCGAGGGCACCTCTTCCTCCGTAGAAAGGCCTCAGCCACCCTGGCTGGTGCTGCTCAGTGGCTACAGCATCCACCTGCACACCGAAGTGTCTCCGGTTCGATTCCCGGTCAAGGGCATGCACCCAGGTTGCAGATTCGCTCCCCGGCCCCAGTCGGGGGACACGGGGGAGGCAACCAGTTGCTGTGTCTCTCACACGGACGTGTCTCCCTCTCCCTGTCCCTTCCCCCCTCTTCCTCTCTCTCTCTGAAAAGCAATGGAAAAAAATATGCTCAAGTGAGAATTAAAAATAAAATAAAAGGTCTCAGCAGAGAAGAAGACCTGGGCCCAAGACCCCCATAAAGAGGCCTCTGAGCCCCGGCTAGTTTGGCTCAGTGGTTAGAGCGTTGGCCAGCGGACTGCAGGGTCCTGGGTTCAATTCCAGCCAAGGGCAGGTAACTCTGTGACAGGAGGCCGCGCGGCTGGAGGGCTGGAGGATTGGAGGGTTAGAGACAGCTTGCTGGGCTCGGTCAACCATCCCCCTTTTAAAAAATATATATCTTTATTGATTTTATGGAGAGGAAGGGAGAGGGAGAGAGAGAGAAACATCAATGATGAGAGTCATGGATCGGCTGCCTCCTGCACGCCCCCGACTGGGGACTGAGCCCCAAACCCAGGCCTGTGCCCTGACCAGGAATCGAACCTCAATCTCCTGGATCCCAGGTCATTTCTCAACCGCTGAGCCACGCCAGCCGGGCTCAACTGTCTCCTCTGATCTTCCACCTTCTTTCCTGTTTTTTTTTTTTCTCTCTCTCACAACCCCCCTCTCAGGGACAAAGCCGGAGGCTACGGTATCCAGGCGCTGGGCGGGATGCTGGTGGAATACGTCCACGGAGATTTCCTCAATGTCGTCGGCTTCCCCCTGAACCACTTTTGCAAGAAGCTGGCTGAGCTGTACAACCCTCCACGCCCCGAGGCCCTGCAGCGGGCCAGGCAGGGCTCCGTCCCTGCCGTGGACACGATTGGGAGCCTGGGAGACCTGAGCGATGCGGAGGGCCACGGCCCAGGTGGGGCGCAGGCGGGCGGGGCACAGCTACCCAAGGACCAGCCACAGGCTCGCAGCTCGGAGGGCGCAGATCCTAAGAGGACGGTGAAGAGCCTGCCCCCCACAGCCCTTCTGGAATTGACAGAAGGTTTCAAAGCATCCAAGGTACGTCCACAAGAGTCCTGGGGCGGCCGTGACAAATGACGACAAACTGGGGGCTTAAACATCAGACATTTATCTCCCCTCCATCCTGGAGACCAGACGTCTGAGATTCAGGGGTCCCAGGGCCGGGCTCCCTCCAGAGGCTCCAGGGAGGGTCCTTCCTGCCTCTTCCAGCTCCTGGGGCTCCAGGCGTCCCTGGGCTGGTGGCCGCCTCCCTCCCGTCTCTGCCTCCGTCTCCCCAGGCTTCGCCTCTGTGTCCGTGTCTCCTCTTCTGTCTCTTACAAGGACCCTGCCCTTGGGCGTAGGGCCCCCCTGACCCAGGACGACCACATCTCTGATCCTTCCCTTCATCCCATCTGCAAAGAACCTATTTCCAAATAAGGTCCCGTTTGCAGGTTCTGAGGGTCAGCCTATCTTTTTGGGGGCCGATTATCTGCCATTACTAAAAGGCTCAAGACAGAGACAGGGAGCCCGGAAGGTGTGGCTCAGCGGTTGAGCATTAACCTGTGATCCAGGAGACTGTGGTTCGATTCCCCATCAGCGCCTATGCCGGGGTTACAGCCTCGGTGCCCAGTAGGGGGCGAGCAGGAGGCATCTGATCAATGACTCTCATCACTGATGTTTCTATTTCTTTCTCTCCCTCTCTCTTCCTCTCTGAAATCAATAAAAACATATTAATAATTTTTTAAAAAGACATAGAGGGACTTATGGGACCAGCAGAGGGCGGAGTCGTGGGCCCAGGTTTTCTGAGGGAATGAAAGGTACTTGGTAAGTCGCATACTAAGTCTGATTGTACCTGTGTTTCATGGACAGGCTCTGTTCACAGCTTGCAAGATGAAAGTGTTTGATTTATTACGAGACGAAGGCCCCCTGAGCGCTGTGGATATTGCTGGGAAAATTGACGCCTCAGAGTGCGGAACCAGACGGCTGCTGGACATCTGTGTGGCCCTGGGGTTGCTGGAGAAGACACAGAGAGGTGAGGGGACTTGCAGGTGTTTTGCTGAGAATCTCAGCAGGCGGAAGGAGGTCACTGAGTGAGGGTGACATCTGAGCCAAGGCAGGGAGGACCTGATCGGCTGACCCTCTGCCCTTGGAAACGTGACTGTTCCTCAGAGGGTAAGACACAGGGGACAGATGGAAGAAAGGAAACAGGTGTGTGTGTGTGTGTGTGTGTGTGTGTTTGCACGTGTGTATTAGCAGAATGGCTTCTTATGGGCTCTGGTCTCATGGGGTCTGTATTAGGGTTCTCCAGAGGTACAGAATTAATAGGACATTTATATGGGTGCACAACATAGACATTTGTTTATTTAGATAGACAGATGAGATGGACAAGTGAATAGATCATAGATAGGTGGGTGGATAGATACTGATAACAGACAGAGATGATAGATACATAGATAGTTAAATAAACAGATAAATGGTAGGTGATGGAAGATATCAATAGATGGATGGAGAGATAGATAAGTAAGCGGATGGATGCATGGATGAAAGAATGGATGGATGGACAGATGGATGGATGGAAGGATAGTTGAAGGTGTGGATAGATGGATGAAGAGATGGATAGGTAGGTAGGTAAAAACGGGTGGATGGATAGGTAGATGGGAGGTGACAGATGAGATGGATGGATGGATGGATGGATGGATGGATGGATGGATGGATAGATGAATGGATAGATGGTTGGATGGATGGATGGATGGATGGATGGATGGATGGTTGGATGGTTGGATGGATGATTGGATGGTTGGATGGATGATTGGATGGATGGATGGATGACTGGATGGATGGGTGGATGCATGGATGGATGGATGGATGATTGGATGGATGGGTGGATGCATGGATGGATGGATGGATGATTGGGTGGATAGTTGGATGGATGGATGGATGGATGGATGGATGGATGGATGGATGGATGGATGGATGGGTGGATGCATGGATGGATGGATGGATGATTGGATGGTTGGATGGATGATTGGATGGATAGTTGGTTGGATGGATGGATAGTTGGTTGGATGGATGGATGGATGGATGGATGGATGGATGGATGGATGGATGGATGATTGGATGGATGGATGGATGGATGGATGGATGGATGGATGATGTGTTTATTGAATGGAACACAACTCTTGAGCATGGTCTCCAAGCAGGGGTATTGTAGATGTTCCCTGAGAAAGTTGAAAGAGCAGGGGGGCTCCCAGGACCATAGAGGCAGCTTGGCTTCTGTTATATGAAGAGAGCGGGGTACTGGTAGTGGAGGTCCCAAAATCTGCCCTTCACACCAGAGGCAGTCAAACATAGGCTCATGATTTGGAGCATAGAAAGCAGAATTTCCTCTGAGCCACATCATTTAAATCATCTTCTCCTCCACCAAAAACAATGACTGAACTCAGAGAAGGCTCCAAGCTGCAGACCGTTCATTAATCACTGGTCCTTGGACCTGCCTTCTGAGTCATTCTGGCCAATCTCACACCTGAGCCCCGTCAGCAGTCCCTCCCCTTCTGCATGGGGCACGGCTGCTCTTCAGAAGAGCCCTGATCACAAGAGTAAGATCATCTCGTCGTTGAAATGAACACCGAGCTGTTCCCTCCATCTGACGACTGGCGTTGGGTGGGGTCCTCTGCTGACACACACAGGTCTCAGTGTCCGTCACCTCAATCCTCAAGATTGATTATATGCCTTGGCTTCTGTAGGTGGGAGTGTCCTGGGAGGGATCGGGGGCGGGTGCAGGGACAGTCTGCCTGGATTTCAGGTGCGTGGAGAGAGGATGGGCCCATTAGGGGTCAGAGCTCTCCAGGGAATCACAACCCATGGGGCATAGACTACATCTGTTGGAAGGAATTGGTTATGTAATTATGGGGCCTTTGTGGGACTGGCTCGTGTGAAGCCTGTAGGCTGCAAACTTTATTTTTTATTCTTTATTTTTTTTGTTAATCTTCACCTGAGGATATTTTTTCCATTGATTTTTAGAGAGTGAAAGGGAGAGAGGGAGAGAGAGACAGACATCGCTGTGAGAGACACATGCATTGGTTGCCTCCCACACACGCCCCAACCGGGGCCAGGGATCGAACCTGCAACCCAGGTGTGTGCCCTTGACCGGTAATTAAACCCGTGACCCTTTGGTGTGCGGGCCGATGCTCTAACCACTGAGCCACGCTGGCCAGGGCAGGCGGACAGAGTTTGCGCTCACCTCTCCATGAAGCTCGGTCGCGGCTCCCTGGAGCCGGGTGAGCTGAGTGTGGGCGTCGCCACCAGGACCTCCCCTGTCTTTTCAGGTTACAGTAACTCGGAGGCGGCCAGCCTGTACCTGCTGTCGGACTGCGAGTACTCCCTCCACGGCTTTATCATGTACGAGAACGACCGCGCCTGGAAACTCTTCACCCACCTGGAGTCGGCCATCCGGGAGGGGACCAACCAGCACCCCAGGGTCCTGGGGAAGACGGTGGACGACCTGTTCCCGGTAGCCCAGCTGAGGACGTTTCTTTCCCCAGGATGGCCAGTGGGGGGGGGGGACGCCGGAAGCGGCATGGGGTGCTGGCTGATCCGCCTCCAGGTGTTTCAGGGAGTCCAGGGCCGGAGAAGAGAATTCCCCCGGGAAGGGGTCCAACGAACCCTGTTTCTCTTCTGAGTAATGATGCTGAACAGGAGCCCTCAGTTTCCAAGCACCTCCTGCACCGTCTCTCCCCTGGTCCCGTCTGTGCAGAGAGACTCACGTGGGGTTGACATGCAAGACGGCTGTGTGTCCTGTGGGGCCCTATTGGGGTGTAGGCCTGGGTGTGCAGGGCCGTATGGGGGGGCTTCACGAGGGGCACAGCTGCTCCCCAGTTAGGTTTGCTGAGGGCAGAGCACACATGAGGCGCTCAGTCAGGTTCTGTGTGTGACATGAAAACGGGGGTGGCAGAGCGTGGGGCTTAAGTCATCTGGGGGGAGAGGGGCAGAGGCAGAGAGAGGCAGACAGACAGAGGGACAGAGACACACAGAGAGACAGAGAAGAGACACAGAGGGACAGAGAGAGGGAGGGAGGGACACAGACAGACAGACAGAGGGAGGCAGAGCATGAAAACAAAGGTGCTCTGAGCCCCCAGAGGTGCTGACGAGGTGGGGAGGCCCTGTCCCTCCATCCGGGCTGTGCCCCAGAGCCTCGCCTTCACCAACATGCTGCCCCGGGCCTCGGCGACCCTCAGGTGTCTCACCGGGCAGATTTGGATGGAATTGCCCTCTACATGACCCCCAAGCCCTGCAGCCTTTGCTGGACCCCTCCCTGCCTCGGTGCCCTCCCTAGAGCCCTGCTGAGCCTCGCCCCTACCCTTCCCCCCACCTGGGTGCAGGACCCCTGGGCGTCTGCAAGTCTGCTCAGACCCTGCTCTGGTTTAGGGCTCCCTCTACGAGAGCCAGGACAGTAAGCTGCAGTTTATGGGGGCCATGCACTGCATCAGCAAGCTGACCGCTCACCAGGTGGCCACGGCCTTTGACCTGTCTCGATTCACCTCTGCCTGCGACCTGGGCGGTATGTACACCCCACCAGGACTCAGGTGCCAACAGCACCGGTGCTTCTTTTCTTGTATTGAAGCGCGGGTGCCTGATCTGCTCACAAGACTTGCAAAACGGGCTTATGTCTTTGCAAAATCCCCAAGGACCCAGGCTTGGCCAGGGTGGGTGAGAGGACTTGGGCAGAAACTCCCAGCCACCGGGAGGTCCTGAGGATGGCCCAGGACCTCTAGAGAGGTGATGGGACCCTTCCTGGTGGCTACCGAGTCAGAGACAGAAACGGGGAGCCCTCTGTCCCCATCTCATGAGGTGTGACAATGTCCCACAATCCACCCCAGTCTGGCCCAGTCCTTACACAGGATTCAGGAGAAACAGATGTCTGCCCACAGTGGGTAATGGGATCAGCATCCCAAGAGGGCTCCTGAGCTGCCACCTTGCATTTTCCCATCCTCTCTGCACCCCCTTCCTCCCGGTGGCCCAGAGTGGCTGCTGTGGCACCAGCCATTGAGACTGCATTCCCACAGCCGAAAGGAGAAGGGAAGGTTACAGTCCCCCACAGCCCTGCCCTAAGGATTTCCCCGTGAGACTGTGCCCACCACCCCTGCTCATCTGCTCACTTACTGGCTTGCGTGGTATTGACTTTGGAAGGCCCCAAGGCCCATGTTAGGCAGCAGCCACTGGCACCACCGGCTGGCTTTATCTCTCAGCGCTGGCCTCAACCCGTGTCCTAGAACATTGTTTGGTTTTGCCGAGGTCGAACTTTGGAGGCTCACTCAAGGATTCCCAAGGGCCAGGAGGGTCAGGTGATCAAGTCTGTGTTTGCATCCCCCCTCCCCCACAGGCTGCACAGGTGTCCTCGCCCACGAGCTCGCCAGGGAGTACCCGGGTCTGAAGGTGACTGTGTTTGACCTCCCAGAGGTCATCAAGGATGTCACATGTTTTCAAAGCGACGGACCACAGTCACAGCAGGTCCGCTTCGTGCCAGGTGAGGGCTCCTGTGTTTCCACCCTTGCTCAGCACTTGGCTGACCTCTGACACTGAGCATGACTCTGTGCATGTGCAGGTGTGTCTGTCTCTGTGTGTCTGCAGGTGTGTGTGCATGCTACTTGTGTCTCTATGTATGTGTGTGGTGTGTTCACCTCCGTCTGTACAGCCGTGCCTTGGTGTCCACATGGGATTGGTACCAGGACCCCCCTCCAGTACCAAAATCCTCAATCCTCATGTCCCTCATATAAAATAGCCTAGAGGTTGCATGTAACCTACGCATATCCTCCTGTAGACTCTATTTTATTTTTTAAAATATATTTTATTGACTTCAGAGAGAGGAAAGGAGACGGAGCGAGAGATAGAAACATCAGTGATGAGAGTCACTGATTGGCTGCCTCCTGCACGCCCCCTTCTGGCGATCGAGCCTGCAACCCGGGCGTGCGCTCTGAGCCAGACTCTAACCGCCATCTCCTGGATTACAGGTCGATGCTCAACCACTGAGCCACTCTGGCTGGGCCCTCCTGTAGACTTTAAATCCTGTCTACATGACTTGTAACACCTGATAAAATGCGTCAACACTGTGTGAAGTTGTTACAATGTATCATTTCAGGAACCACAACAAGGAAACAGTGGCATAGTAACAATATGACATTTGCTACAAAAGGGCAACAATGTAACTCTTTCAAATAGTTTTTCTCAGTGTTGGTTTTGTATGGCTGTGAAAACAAACTATGCAGAGTGGATGCCTTAAAAAAACAGACATTCATCCTCTCTCCATCCTGGAGACCAGACGTCTGAGATCCAGGGGTCCCAGGGCCGAGCTCCCTCCAGAGGCTCCAGGGAGGGTCCTTCCTGCCTCTTCCAGCTCCTGGGGCTCCAGGGGTCCGTGGAGCTGGTAGTTGCATCCCTCCCGTCTCTGCCTCAGTCTCCACGTGGCTTCTCCTCTGTGTGTGTCTCCTCTTCTGTCTCTTACAAGGACCCCGTCCTTGGATGTTGGGCCCCCCTGACCCAGGACGACCTCATCTCAGGTCCTTCCCTTAATCACATCTACAAAGATCCTATTTCCAAATAAGGCTCTCTACATGTCTTTTGGGGGGACATACCCCATTACAAGCAAGCCCCCCTTCCATTTCAATTCAGAGGGTGGTGCCTCCCCATTTCTGTCAGGTTCTTGTATACCTAGCGGAATGATTATATTTTGTTTTTAAACCAGGTGACTTTTTCAAAGACAGCCTCCCGGCGGCCGACCTCTACATTCTTTCCAGAGTTCTCCACCACTGGCCAGAGGACAAGGTGCACAAGCTGCTGAGCCAGATCTCAGACAGCTGCAAACCAGGTGAGACTGTGTAGTTTAGTTTCTCTTTTTAAAAACATAAAGGCATTTTTCTTCTTTCTTTTTTTTTTTTTTTGTTAACCCTCACCTGAGGATATTTTTTCCATTTATTTTTAGAGGGAGGGAGGGAGGGAGAGAGAGAAACATCGGTGTGAGAGAGAGTATCATCGATCGGTTGTCTCCTGCATGCTCTCTACTGGAGCTGGGGATCGAACCTGCAACCCAGGTACATGCCCCAGATGGAGAATCGAACCCTGGACCCTTCAGGGCTCAGGGCTGATGCTCTAACCACTGAACCATGCTGGCCAGGGCCATACAGCTCACAGATGGACTCCCCACCAATCATCGATCTCTCCTGTAGCTGGCAGGACTGGTGCTAACTCTGCTCCAGGCAGCTGGGGCTCAGGTTCCCGTCACCTGCCCCCTGATGGGGTCATGGAGGCTCCTCCCTACAATCAGAATTCCTCACCTGTTTCCTACCCAGTGAATTCCCTCAGAGGAGTCCTGGTCTTTTACTCCGTCTCCCTCTCTGGTTCCCCAGCCTGACGGGGCACCGTCTGCAGCGTGTACCCCATAACTCTGACCTCCCATCCCCATCACAGCTGCCGTCCTCCGGGCTCCCCTTCCCTCTGTTCCTGGGCGGGACCCCAGCGGCTGCTCTTGTGCTCGCAGGTGACGGCCTCCTGGTGGCGGAAACGTTCCTAGACAAGAAGCGCTCGGCGCGGTGGGGCCTGATGGAGTCGCTGAACACGCTGGTGCAGGCGCTGGGCCAGGAGCGCAGCCTGGGCGAGTACCAGCGCCTTCTGCAGATGCACGGCTTTGAGGTGGTGGGGGCCGCGCGCCCCGGGAGCATCTTGGATGTGATCCTGGCCACTAGAACTGTGCCCTGAGGCTCACAGGGATGTTCTCCTGGGGGGGCCTCCGTCCTGGAATGTGGACTTTGCGGTGCAACGTTTACTGGAGGGCTCGCTGTAACCGCCCAGATCAAAGGGCGTGGGGAGCACTGTTTCTCCGAGTCCTTTCGTGGGGCTGAAGACCCTGGGAAAGGACAGCGCCAGCCCAGGGGTCCCTCCCTCACAATGCCAGGCATCGACCTCTGCGGAGACCCCAGGTGTACCCGGCAGGGCGGCCACCTACCTGCCCAGTGAGTCTCCGCAGCAGGAGCCCCCTCCACCCTGCCCTCGCCACCAGCCTTGAGCATTTCCAGTCTCTGTCGTTGTTTTTTAAAATATGTCTTTATTGATTTGAGAGAGAGGAAGGGAGAGAGAGGTAGAAACATCCATGATGAGAGAGTCACTGATTGGCTGCCTCCTGCAGGCCCCCTACTGAGGATGGAGCCTGCAGCAACCCGGGCATGTGCCCTGACCCCCAATAGAACCGGTGACCTCCTGGTTCATGGGTTGACGCTCAAGCACTGAGCCATACCAGCCGTGCTCCAGCCCCGATGATGTCATCTTTCAAGCCCGTTTTCAATATCCCGGTGACGTCACAGCTGTCCCGGCTGGCAGGAGCCCAGCAGGGGGCCAGCTCTCTGAGCAGATTCTGTCTCCCTCTCCCTGCAGGTCTTGGGGAGCAGGGCCCCTCTCTCCCAGCTGGTTAAACTGAGTCTTTAAGAAGCTCATACCTCAGGCAGGTGGAGGAGGTGGACTGGGTCAAGTTGCTTGTTTACCAAAAATGTTCCCCAACTCAGGTCTCTTCTGTGTGTCAGTAAATGTATCTGTTTTCTCTAAAGAGCCCGCGAGTGGAAACGAGAGAAATACCTATCCAACGCGGGAGGGAGATAAAAGGGAATGGAACATCCAAGATGTATTAAATGGAACGAGCCAATGCGGAGAGGTATTGTTGCATTTATCTTTAAAAAGTAAACATCGCATTTTTAATTTCATTACATGCAGATTTCTAGAAGGGAGCTTGAGGAATCTCTATCGATCGTTACCTCTCGCCCTGGCCGGTGTGGCTCAGTGGTGGGAAGCGTGGGCCTGAGCACAGAAGGATCTCAGATTCGATTCCTGGTCAAGGGCACGTACCTGAGTTGCAGGTTCGATCCCTGGCCCTGGTCGGGGTGAGTGTGGGAGGCAACCAATCGATGTCTCTCTCTGTCTCTGTCTCTCTAAAAATCAATGGAGAAAAATTCTTGTGAGGATTAACAAAAAAACAAAAAAAAGAGGGGGGGGTGAGGGATAGTGGGGTGAGGAGAACCCAGGTTTTTCACCTTTGATCTTACAGTTTTCTATACCAATTGGGTTTTTTAACCAAGCAAATCTAGTTCGTTTTATAATTCGAAACCAAAAGGCAGGCTTGTGGAATCACCTGATTTCTAAGACTCCTTCCAGCTCTAACACTGCGTGAAGCCCCTTCTGTACATTACCATCAATGTGGCTGATTCGATCGTGAAAAACACGAAATGTATCTCCACAGTGTAAAATTTAACAAGTCTCTTATTTGAAATTCAGTGAAGGCAGACTCGGGGGTGAAGCTTGTTCTTAATGAATAGAAAGTAAAGTAGATTACCAAAAAAAAAAAAAAGCGAGTTCATAACAAATTCTTATGTGTGTTAGGCAATAAGTATGACAGACTGTGCTATTCAGATATACAAGCTATTATTTGGAAAAACCCTGACTGTCAGGTGGGGAGGGACACCTTCAGAGAGGCCACCTGTGGGTGTCGGTACTTCACGCAGGCTTCGGAGCTAAAATCACCAGACTGTTAGGTACCTAACTTACAGAAACATAATATTCTGTTTAAGAATGTATTTTATATAGTTTTTAAATTGTTTTACAAATAAAGGTCTATATACATACATGATTTATATACTATATAGGGTGCCCCCCAAAATGTATATACACACTTTGGATAATTATAAAGGCAATGTTTATTAAAATACGTTTCATTTTCAAAATGGAGCTATCGGCTGTTAAAGTGTGTATACATTTTTTGGGGACACCCTGTATAATTAGACACACCCACAAATATATAATTTTGGATGGATAACTGTGCCCTTAAACCTAAGACCCACCCATGGGAGACGCTCCGGGTTGGAGAGTAACAGTCGGTAACATTTGTGGGAGCTGGGTGAAGGCTCCGTGGCCTCCCGATACTCCTTGTGTGTTGGAACTTGTCTTAGTAAGAAATGGAAATGGTGAGGAGAGGAAATATGATTCACCAACCTGTCTTTTTGTATATTACAAATACTATACAAAAACAGTTTTTCGGGGCGTCAGAGAATGGATACCAGTGTGGGTGCACACGGGTGTGTCTTTAAAGGGTTTTAATTCTTTAGGGATCAAACAGGAATTTCAAGGTTGGAGTCCAGTGCCTGACCTGACCCCCCCCCCAGGTGCAGTCCATTCAGTCATTGGTTCATTCAGCAGGTGTCTGAGTGCTCAGTGCACAGGGGACTGTCTGCATTCGTCACTGGGTAAAACCTGCCGCATGGGGGCGGGAGTGGGGAACAGGCTAGGACTTCAGACCATAAAGATATGACCTGAGTCAATATGGCCTCAGCCCTTCCAGGTCCCTTGCAGGGTCCTCACCACTCACCAGACCAGGTGACCTGAAGGCGGGGTCTGGCTCCCAGCACCTGCCCCGCCCCCTATCTCCCATCCCACCTTGTCCTTCTGAGCCGTCACCTGAGACATGATGTTTTTTTAAATTTGCCCTCCCCTCTTTTTAAATTTAATTTTTTTGTTGTTAAGCCTCACGCAAGGATATTTTTCCATTGATTTTTAGAGAGAGTGGAGGAAGGGAAGGAGGGAGGGGGGAGAGAGAGAGAGAAACACCGATGTGAGAGACATGCCGATTGCTTGCCTCCCGCACGTGCCCCAACTGCGGTCAGAAATCAAACCTGCAACCCAGGTACGTGCCCTTGACCGGGAATCGAACCCGCAACCCTTCGGTGTGCAGGCTGAGCCACACCGACCAGCACCCCCACCCTATTTTTACGAGCGCATCCATTTTTCAGACCATCTTTCTGATACTCTGGGGATACAGATTTCACCGCAGCACCTGCTGGCCTCGCAGCCGCTTACCTACGACCCTGTGCAAGGTGTAATCACATCTTGGGACAGCGCTGAGGAATGGGGGACAGGTCTCATTTTCCCCACTGGAGTCTTAGAATTACCCCCTTGGAGGAGGTGCTCCCCTCACCCCCCGGCTCAGCATTGTCTCCCTTTCCGATCCAGGTGTTCAGTCTACCTGGGCCCTCCTTTCCCAAGTACATGTTCTGGGTGTCTGGTGTGCGAGGCTGCCTGAGACACTGCAGGGCAAAGGGGGGCTGTCTCCCCTTCCTGCACCTCCCCTGCCAGGGATGAACAGGTGGGTGTCTAAAACCCACAAAGCAACGCTTTCTGCATTTCTGTGTTCTGAACCCAGTTACCAGGAAAGAAAAAGGCAACCTACGTACCTTCCTTCCTTCCAGAAAGCATCAGCTGGGTGCCAGCCCGAGGTGTCCAGCGACCCTCAGGTGCTCAGAGCAGCCAGCAGCCTGCTGCTGACGGTGGTGGGGGGTCGCGGGCACTGGCCATCCAGGTGCCTGGGGAAGGGGACTGGATGGATCATGCATAAGTTAACCCCCCACCAGACACGCAGAGAGAGGAACTTAATCCTCAATGAGCAGCTCCCTCTGGATGGCCCCTGCTGGCCCCTGGGGGAGCGATCACTGTCCCCAGAATCCCTCCTTGTCCCCGCTCCCCCCCCTCCCAGGCCCAGACAGGCTGGTCCAGTGAAAAAATGAAAGGCAGAGGGATGCTTTTCCCATCCAAGAGTGCGGAGACTCAGCCCGCTGGGCAAATTCCACCGCAGCCCAGAAGCCGTGACCTCCGTGTGTTCTCTACCCCAGAAGCCCACGGTGGGTGCAGGGGTGGGTGCAGGGGTGGGTGCAGGCTCTTGGGCTGCCCCCCTCCCACCAAGACACATTCCCCACCCCACGCCAGGTGAAGGCTTAGGAATGTGCGAGCACCTCCAAGGCCGAGCTCCCAGGGCCGCCCCTCTACCCTCCAAGTACCTTCGTCCCGCAGCCGATCCGGCTCCTGCAACCCGCAGCCTCAGGCCCCGCCTCCACCCTGCCTCTCACCGCAAGTCAGAAGCGGGCAGGTTTTGCAGGGACCCTGGGGACTCGGAGCCCCGAGGCCTGGGTGTGCAGGGCTTATCAGCATCCATCTATCATCCGTCGGGCGTCTGCGGTTTTTATGGGCTAAGTGAGGACACTAACAACATAAAAAGGAAGGAAATGAGGAAGGGGGAGGGAAGGAACAAAGAGAAAAGAAAGAAAGAAAAAAAAACACACCCTTGCTTGGGAGCCGCTACTAAGTAGCTGTTCTTGACCTTGGCGCTGATGTAAACCCCGGTCTGCAAATTCACCCGGGGACAGCTGGCGACTCGTGTGCCACTTAGTTACCATTCAATAAAACGTTCAAACAAAGTTTCAAAACTAGTGGGTCCCGGGCTGCTTTTGGGGTGGGGGCGGGAGATGAGCAGGTGAGGGAGCAGGTCAATGGGCAGGTGAGCGGGGTGGGCAGCAGGGCTCCTTCTGACCCTTTCAGCGGGGAAAGGAGAAGGTAAGGGACTGAGGGAAGAAGCCAGGTGGGGTGAAGCGGGGCACCTGAACCCCTCCCCCCGAGTCTTTCCCCCAAGTCCCAGCGCAGAGCCGCAGGGGTCACGGGGTCAGGGCTCGGGAACCTTTCAAGGCCGGGCGGGGTCGTGCAGGCCACGGGGATGGACATGGGACAGGCCAGTCTCCGGGGCAGGCGGTGAGCGTGCCCTGGAGACCGGGGCCGTGGGGCAGGTGTGGGGGGGCTCGGGGAGCCCTGGGCTCGGGGGTTTGCACAGCACGTGTCGGGCGGTTCTGGCTCTGAGCCCCGCGATTGCACGGTTCTCCGGGGACCCCAGGCTGGAAGGGGCCCCGGCTCGGATGTGCGCGACTCCCGGCCTCCCCGCTCCGCACGTGCTTCTCTCGGTTCCCGGCTCAACGTGACCTTCACAAGGTCACGGTGGCCTCCGAGCCCTCTCCGTACGCAGAGCGCATGGGCGGGGCCCGGCTCGCGTAAGGCGCCGGGGCGCGGCGGGGAGACGCAGGTGACGCAGCCAA